CTTGGAGCCCTGGAGGGAAGGAATTGCTAGACGCTAGACGGAAGCCCTTGCAAGGCCAGGGATGTAGCTCAGTGGTGCCACTGCCTGCCTTGAAAGTGCAAGGTCTTGGCTTCGATCCCCAGTACCAAAAAAGAAAACAAAAACCGACAGGTGCAGTAGGGGTAGGTGAGCTGTCACCAGCCCACGTGACAGCTTGGAGGGAACACATAGCTGCAGCATCCCCTAGTCCAGAGAGCTCAGGGTGACAGAGGCAACTGCAGTGTCGTAGCTGCCCTGCCCTTTGAAAGTCATCGGATCTTCTCATCCATCTGAGGCCCTCAGAAGGGCAGGAATTGTCATCTGCAGCCCACTGCAGAGGACACTGAGGCCATGTTTCTGCAGTGAGGATTCTCCAAGGGACATGAGAGAGACATCCAGTTGGAACTGTCTGCTCTTTCCTGAGCAAAGCCCCACACCCAGCTGTCCAGGGCCTCCTTTACTGGGAGCCCTACCTTGGGGCAGCAAATAAAGGCCAAAAAAGACTTGGAGGAAGGAGAAGCAGGCACCAGGGCCACGTTAGGAGACAGCACAGATTCTGTCGGCTTCCCACACAAGGCTGCCAGGTCAAATGCAGCCAGTAAATCTGAATGTCAGATGATGGAAATGACGTTTTAACACCAGCATTTGTGTTTCTACACCTGAGATCCTGAATGTTTCCAGCAAGCCCACAGAACAGGCTACGGAAGAGGGGCAAAGCCAACTTCAGTTCTCTGCTCCTCCAAATCCTGAGTCCCCCTGGGATTTGTGTTAGCTTCCTATCACTATAGCAAACATCAGAGATGATTTATCTGAGGCCGATATCCTCTTGATTAGGGGGAATAGATGTGACTCCCAAACCTACTAGATATTTGAAACTTGAGTTTGTGTTCTCTAAAATCGAAGAATGAATTTTAGGAACAAGGGAGGTTAAGAATAGGAAAATTTATATAGAGAAAGATAGCTTCTAAGAAAGACAGAAGGGGGCACTGGCAAGTGGGTTGCCTGGGACCCTCTTTCCAGAGGGTTTTTTTTTGGTACGGGGGCGGGGGGGGGACCTTGCACTTGAGAGGCAGGCGGCAGAACCACTGAGCTAAATCCCCAGCCCTCCCAGAGGGTTTTTATGGAGCAAAGCCATGAGGAGCTGCGGGTTCATGGTGGGACAAAACTATAAGACCCAATGGAAAATTACAAGGTGGGCATGAGGTAGGGGGAACTACAACCAACCAATAAGATTACAAGTAGAGTCACCCAGGTAATATTGATTAAATGGGGATCAAATGGGAAAACAAGTCACATACAAGGAATTTCCCCTTTACAATATCGATCATGGGGATCTATCTCTAGGGGAAGTAGTACCCCTTTTCCTTTTTTATAATGTTAACCAATAAATGTGCCTTAATTATTTTCCATGTTGGCTCCTTGAGGGCTGGGGCCTGGAGGGTGGCCCTGTCTAACTGCCTCCTGGATACTCTAACTTACCTAGCTACAATAATAAATACTCTGCCTAGAAAAGGACAATTAGAGACTTGCAAAATTTCAAAGTATATGGGGGGCCGGGAGGTCAGTGCCCCTGAGTGGGCAAAGACAAGGACTCACCAAGCTAGCCAGCATTTATTGGGTACATACAATGATTGGAGGGAGCATTGGGTGACTTAGGGGGGTGGTGATCTTATGTCTGATCCTATGCAGATGCAAATCTCATGCTCATGAGGGCAGAAAGGAGAGCATTCCCACCTCTGCAGGTGGGATAAATTAAACTGATAAGGAACTTGACCTGGCCCAGATGAAACCTTTCTCTTTTGTATTACTACTGGATTCTCAAGGAACCAGGATGTCTTCAGCTGATGCAATCTTGCCTTTGAGTGCCACAGCATCACAGACCATTGAGGCTTCAGCTGTGACCAGAGGTAAAACGGAGTTATGTTTCTGAATGCCATCGCAGGCTCTGGCGCAATGCAACATTGGGCCTTAGACAGCTATAGTCATACTTTCATTATGAAATGATTTTTCCCAAAAATTTATGTAGAAGTGCTCCCAACAATGATCAACTTGTAAAGAGCAAAGGTGCCCAAGGGCAGGGGATCTAGCTCAGTGGTTTCGCCGCCTGCCTCGCAAGTGGAAGGACCCGAGTTCGATCCCTGGTACCAAAAAAAAAAAAAAAAAAAAAAAGAGCAAAGGTGCCTGGCATGATGGTGCATGCCTGTTATCCCAGCACTCTAGGAGGGTGAGGCAGAAGGATGGCAAGTTCAAGCTCAGCCTGGGCAACTTGGTGACTTAGCAAGACCCTGTGTCAAGACCTCCCTTTGGGGGTCATCTAAAGTCCAGGCTTTAGCAAGGAGGTGCAGCCCCCCACATCCTTGGGCACTACTGCCTGGCTTTGCTAGGTGACCACTAGGCAAGTCAAGGTCCTGTGAGTCCTTTCAGGAGGACCTGTGCCCGTCTTTGCCTCAGCCTCTGGTGAGACCAGCCCCGGGTGGCAGTGACCTTCCATGAAGCAGAGTGATAGCCTGCAAGTAGGGGTGGTGACCAAGAGAGAAAGGGAGGGGAGCAAGTGGATATGGTATGGCTGGACAGAGGAGCCCCAAATTGTATCCAGCTTTTTTGTCTTCCTTATTTTGACTTTTTTTTTTTTTTTCTGAGACAAGATCTCATTATGTAGCCCAGGCTAGCCTTGAACTTGTAGCAATCCTCCTGCCTCAGCCTCCAGAGTACTGGGATTACAGGCATGAACACCCAGCTTGACTTTGGCATTTTTGATGGTCTAAATATTAGTGTCCCAGGGCCAGGGATTTAGTTCAGTGGTTCCACTGCCTGCCTCACAAGCGCAAGGTCCCGAGTTCCATCCCTGGTACAAAAAAAAAAAAAAATTGTGTCCCCTTGTTGGCCCCACAGATATATCTAGGTTGGCATTTTACCCCGAAAGTGATGGTTTTGAGAGCAGGGGCCTCTGGGAAGTGTATTAATCGTCTTTTTTGTCACTGGGACAAAGTACCCAATATCCACAACATTTATTTATTTATTTTTTGTGGTACTGGGAATCGAACTCAGGACCTTGCGCTTGTGAGGTAGGCGCGGTACCACTGAGCTAGATCCCCAGCCCTCTAATACCCACAATTTAAAGGAGGAGAGGTTGATTTGGCTTATGGTTTTGTTGTTGGTGGGCACCACCACCAAGGTGGGAGTGCCTAGTGGAGGACAGGTGCTCATCCCACGGCAACCAGGAAACAGGTAGCTGGGAAGGAGCCAGGGATAAGAACAGACCTTTCAGGGTCAGGACCCCAGTGACCTGCCCTTTCTTTTTTATTTTTTTATTTTTTATTTATTTATTTATTTTTCTGCCCTTTCTAATCGGACCCACCTTCCTTCAGATATAGGAGGCTGGGGGATATTTTGGATCTAAACCAGGACCAGAGGTAACTAAGTCATTAAGGATGTATTCTCACTAATGGGATTAGTAGCCTGACAAAATGGCCTGAGGGCTGGATGTGGTGACACACACCTGTCTTCTCTTCATTCAGGAGGCTGAGACAGGAGAATAATCTCAAGTTTGAGGACAGCCTGGGCTATGTAGTGAGTTCAAACCAGCCTGAACTACATGGCAAGATCTTTTCTTGGAAAACAACAAGAAGTTGTCAATGAAGCTTAACTGTCATAATTCTCTTCTGGACCTTGCTGTGTAGTAGCATCTCAATCCATTTCCTGTTTAGAAAAAAGGTGCAGCTCTATGCCATTGTTCATTTAATTTTCAGTGACTGAGAATTATTATATATGTATATGTTTTTGCTGTTGTTTCCTTTTTTGTACGTTTTTTGAGACAGGGTCTTGGTATGTAGTTCAGGCTGGTTTTGCATTGTATTATGTAGCCCAGGCAGGGCTTGAATTTACAGCTATCCTCTTACCTCAGTCTCCTGGGCGCTGGGATCACAGGTATGTACCACTATGCCCATCTTGCCTCTCTTTTTTGAGGCACCGGGGATCAAACTCAGGGCCTTTGTACTGAGCTACATTCCCAGATTTTAAAAAAAATTTTATTTTGCTAATAGTAGTTTTGAATTTATAATCCTCCTGCTTCAGCCTCCCAGAGTTGAGGGATTCCAGGTGTTTGCCACTGTGCTGTGTCACTTAAGGTTGCTTGTCATTGGATGTTAGTCTCCTTGGATAATCCAGATGATCTCATCTTGAGATCCATGATCTGTAAAGATTCTTTCCCAAATCAGGTCGCAGTCACTGGTGCTGCAATGCAGCACCACCTCTTTGAAGAGTTCTCTGTTCACCCACTACAGGAGTGAACGATTTCAAAAGAACGGGGTTCTCCTGAGCTAGGCAGGAAAGGGCTGAGATCAGCTCAGTGCAGACCTGGATAGGCGGAGCCAGTGAAATGGTGATAACGGTCTTCCTTTAAGTGGTTAAAGTAGGGACAAATTGAGATAGTCCAAAGCTGTGGTATAAAAGTGCACAATAAGAATGATTGCCCACCTTCTCCCTCGATAAATCCATCAAAGAACTGTCTCCAGCCAGGTGTGGTGGTGACGCCTGTAATTCCAGCGCTTGGGGCGGCTGAGGCAGGAGGATTGCCACGAGGTGGAGGCCAGCCTAGACTACATAGGGAGACCATATCTCAACAAACAAACAACCCACCCCCCCAACCGTCACTACTTGGAGATTTCCCCTTGGGGTTAGTTCAACAGGAAGCTTTGTAGGACCTGCACAGCTTGGGGCACCTAGAAGGACTACTTGGTTGAGTGATCAGCACCTTCCCAAGAGGGACACTGCTGTTTTGTTTTCTGGTACCAGGGATCGAACCCAGATCCTTGAGCTTGTGAGGCAGGCGCGGCGCCACTGAGCTAAATCCCCGGCTAGGGACACTGCTGTAAGATTAGTTCACCCTCGTTGTCCCTCCTCTAGCATTGTTTATTCTGGGGTGACGGGATGGGTGAGAAAGCGTTCCCAGGTCCAACATGGCGCCGTCCTGCTCCTTGTACGGGTCCCATAGATGGCGATTTCCACACGGAGAGCAGACATGTTTATACCACGTGATCCGATCCTAAGGGCGAGGTGGCCGGAACTGTGAGGCGAGATTGAGGCGGGGCTCTGGCCCCGCCCCCTAGCGTCGAGCGTCTCGTGACGGACTCTTCCGCTCGGGGCGGCGGCGGTGGCGGAAGTGGGAGCGGGGCCTGAGCCTTGGCCATAAAGCCCGAGGCGGTGGCGACAGCGGCGGTGTTGGAGGCTGGGAGAGCGTTGCGGGACCTGCGGGAACCAGAACTTGGTCTTCCCTTCCCGTGCCCCTCGTCGTCTCCTTCTCAGCGGGAGCCCTTGAGACACGTCCGGCCCGGAGTCCCCAGCCTGCGGTCGCGGTAAGCAGCCGGTTTGGCCCCATCCCCCTCTCTACCCCTCGGTCGCCGGGGCCTCGCGTCCAACCTTGTCCTCGGCCGGCGCGCGGTTCGGCTCGCATCCCGTGGGGGAAGATCGGTGTTGCTCAGGCCTCAGGACCGGGCCTGACCGCGCCCCTCGGGAGAGGTCAGAGGTTGCCGGGCGTGACCTCCGCCGGGTTGCGGACCCCAGGCTGCGGATCTTGGGCGCCTTGTTTACGGGTGGTGTCGAGATCCGGGCCGGGAAGGTGTCCTGCCTCGGGCGCCCTGGCTATTTGGGGTGTTGGCGCCGTCCTCACCCGCCGCGGTGTCACGGATCGCGGGCGCGGGGTTCAGGCGCCCAGGGCTGAGGCTTAGTCCCATCAGTGTCCCTTGTGAACAGTTGGATCCTGTTAATGCCAGAGGGCCCTTGGTGATCACTGAGTCCTGGCAGTGAGTCGGGACCTGTGGGCTGGACTCGCCCCAGACACTTGTGTCCCTGCGAGGCTCCCCAGTCCCCGCGAGAGAGGGAACCTTTGTCACCACATGGATGGCGAATCCCGAGAGAAGTTTCCAAAGTTAATAGCGGAAGATGGTGGTGGTTCGTAGAGCTGTGTTTGTATTTTGGCCGCCTTGGGGACCATTGGCTGGGTACCTAAGGGTTCGTGGAAGTGAGAATATTGAGAAAAATAGTTACAAAGTATTTGTTTCAGTATTTGTTGTATGCTGGGTAGCGCAGCACGACTTTTACACGTTATTATGTTTAGTTCTGTGACCAATCTGAAGTACCATAGTTGTGCCCTCTTAGAGTGGAGAACTTGAAGAACCAGGGGCTGAGCCTTTTGTTCAAGGTCAGGTCGCTGATCAGGTACAGAGCAGAGATTCAAGCCCAGGGATTCCGACTCCAGGGCACTGTACCCAGCCTTTGGGTTGAACTTTTTTCAGCTGCCCCTAAAGCTTTGGATTTTTTTCCACCTGGTTTCTGTCCATCACCCCCACCATCCACCTCTTTTCTTTCTAGTGATGACATTTGAGAGCTGGTCTGTTTTAGTTCTTTCTTTTTTTTTTTTTGCCTTTAAATGATTTAAAATTTTATTTTGATATAAATTTCTGATTTTAAAAACACTTCCATGTTCTGTCTTAAAGTCACATTTATTTGCAGTTGGGTCTTATAAGTCATGATATTGTAGTGTAGTGCCACTACATGAGAGGTTCTTGAATTCTGGCAGAGGACTTGAGGTTTTGAAAGATCTCGCTATCTAAATTGTTTCTCAGTTGAGTTAGCTCTGGTAAACCTGCCATGTGAACCTTCCAGTCAGAAACAGTTGATGGGTTGCCTGCTGTTCGTTCTTCCCTATTGAACGTACTGCAGCTTTGGATTCCAAAAGAACAGGCTCTTGTCTCCTCCTTGTTACTTAAGCAGCTGATTAACTGCATGACTTCTCATCCTTGATTAATAAGTCTCCTGTTAGTGTGTTCCTCTCTTCAAACTTGGGTTTTGTTCAGACTTGACTCTACAACTGGAAAGGGAGCTATGAGTGCTTGTGAAGCTAGTGCTTTCAAACCTGTTATGTTCTAGCTTATCCGGGTTTGTTTCTTTATTTCACTACACTTTGCTTCCCAGCCTGGTTCATGTCAGGAACAAGTTCTATAGCCTCACTTGTTTGCATTTGGAAGAGTGTAATGATGAGCACCTTTGCATTCATTCATGAAATGATTTGAGGCTCTACCGTGCATGTGTCTGGATTGCTGGGTATTGACTCAGGGAGGTCGGCATGGTTCCTGTCCTCAAGGAATTGTAAAATGGTGAGTGATCATGGCCAGGCACGCTGTTGTGGAATAACTTGGCAACAGAACTTGAGGCATTTCTTTTTTTGTTGTTTGTTTTGTTTTGTTTTGTTTTGTTTTGTTTGGTACTGGGGATCAAACTCCGGGTCTTTCCGCTTGCAGGGCAGGCGACAGAACCACTGAGCTAAATCCCCGGCCCCTTGAGACATTTCTATAGGTGAATTGGTAAAATAGTCTGGCTAACTGGGAAATTTTGTTCATGTTAAGAGCATTTGTATGGTGTGCTGCTGAAAGACAGCAGAAGATATTACCGTTTCTGATTTTCTGATGATCGTGTCTTTTTTTTCCCCTTTTGGCTTTTTGAGACCGGGTCTCACTATGTAGTTTAGGCTGGTGTTGAACTCACTATGTAGCCCAGGCCAGCCTTGAACTTGGAGTGATCCTCGATGCTTAGCCTCCCAAGGGCTGTGATTACAGGTGTGCGCCACCACAATTGGCTGATTTTGTCTTTTTGTTTGTTTATTTGTTGGGACAGGGTTTCACTATGTAGTTCAGGCTGGCCTTGAACTTACTTTGGTTTTTTGTTTGTTTTTTTTTGTACTGGGACTGAACTCAACTTGAACTTACTTTGTATTTGTAGCCCAACTTGCTGTGATCCTCCTGCCTGAGCCACCCAAGTGCTAGGATTACAGGCATGCACCACCATGGCTGGCTGATTTCGTCTTTTGAAGAGTAACCTTTAGCAAACTTCTGTTTTTGCTCTAGTGGCATTTTTGTTCATTCAAGGGGGAATCTGTCACTGTCATTACACTGCACTGCAATGTCTTGGAGCAGAGACATTTTGCATGCTGCGTTTTTTCTTCAGCTGGCACCTGCCAGTCATGGTATCAGTACCATCCTCAGAGAAACCCAATGCCACCTTGTCTCCAGGCCCTTTGGGTCCCTTCTTCAAAGCAAGATTTGAGTTTTACATTTGTATTAGAGCTGCATGGAGTAAACAAACAGGGTGCAGTTAGGAGAAGGCACTCTAAAAATAGTTCTATTAATATCACCCTCAGGTAATTGCTAGCAGCCACTTGGGCAGATTTCTTTTCTTTCTCTTTTTTTTTTTCTTTTGTGCTAACTGCATCTCATAATCAGAGCCCCTAAATTCTATGATTAAAGAGTTGTGCCTTCAAGTGTGGCTTTGAATCAGCCTTCTGAGTCTGACTCCACCAAGTGAAGTGCAAAGTTTTGGTTATTTGTTTAGCTTTTTAATCAGTCTTCAAAAAGATCTGCACTGTTAACATTTTGGTTTTTTGTTTGTTTTTTGTTACCAGGAATCGAACTCGGGACCTTGTGCTTGCAAGGCAGGTGCCAGAACCACTGAGCTAAATCCCTGGCCCAATAGAACATTTTTAATTTGAAGCAGGGTTTTGCTAAATTGCCCAGGATGACCTCAAACTTGTAATCCTCCTGCCTCAGTTTCCCAGGTAGCTGGGATTATGGGTGTGCTCCCTCCACCATGCCCTCTGGCATTAACCTTTCAGTGCACAGATGGAGCAAATCCAGACCTCAGGAGTGGCAGTTGTCTTATGTACACTGATCCTCTCTGGGATTTTACATAAATATTTTTCCTGTGATAAATGGTCCAAGTGTCCATCTATATAAATTAGCATTCGAGGCTGAGATGGATTTGCCCCATACTGGCTGGGAGCAGTGGGCAGGGTTTTCCTGGGGAAGTAGGTGGAGGGTAAACAGTGTCCCTAAGGGGTCTGAAGTTGTCCACATGGACTGCTCTCCTGCTTCCTGGCTGCTGCTGACTCTGTGCCATCCGAGGCTGTGCTGGTGTTCTTGGGGATCCTTTCCTTTGTGTCATCACACACCTGCCTGTGCATGTCAACTAATAGGTCTATGCTCCCCGACTGCAGTTGCTGCAGGAACATTTTGCAGGGTGTTATGTCTTTAGTTACTGGCTCTCACATCTTCCCTGGATTTTTTTTCCCTTTCATATATATATATGGCATTAATGGCTGGGACATAGTTTGCATTTATGTTTTACAATTTAAATTTTCTAAGCCTCTTAAGGGTGGCTGGGACAGTGGTCTGTGAGTGAAAGGTAAAGGTGATCTGATAGGTGAAGTCAGAACAGCCTTCTTAGGAGTCTCTGTGACTGGTTTCAGTGTTCATATTGTGATTCCCAAAACAAATTTAAGAATAGCTACTTGGAAATGTCTCCTTTTGCTGGGGCGGGCGGGCG